CAATTCCAAGTCTTAGCAAGCAGGTGGAGAAACTATAACCCTCTCTCCTATATTGCTGGAAGGAATGTAAAATGGCACTACCAATTTGGAACACAGTTTGACAGTTTTTTTTTAAAAGTTGAACATAAACTTACTATGTGACACAACAATTCCACTCCTAGAAATCTACCCAAGAGAAATGCAATCACATGTCCACTCAAAGGAACATACATGAACATTTGTAACAGCATTGTTTGTAACAGTCCCAAACTGGAAACAATTCAAATGTCCATCAACTGGACAACAAGTAGACAAAATGTTGTATATCTTTTCAATAGAATATTATTCAGCACTAAAAATGAACGAACTACTAGTACATGCTACAACACGGATGAACCTCAAAATTAGAACGCTAAGTGAAAGATGCTGGATGCAGAAGACGACTATATAGTACATCATTTCATTTGCAAAAATGTTCAGAAATGGCAAAATATAGTGTCAGATTGCAGATCAGTAGTTGCCTAGGGCTTACATGGAAGTGGGGATTAACAGGGAAACTTTTTGGGACAATAGAAACATTCTAAAATCGGATTGTGGTGATAGTTGTAAAATTCTAAAAAATTTACTAAAAATCATAGAATCGTACTGTTACAATTGGTGAATTTTATAGTATATAAATTATACCTCAATAAAGCTGTTAAAACAACAAGAAAAAAAAGATCTTTCCCATGATGTATTTATCTTAAATGTCAGATTGCAGCTTTGATGCATACACAAAGAGATTTTGTTTGGTGGGGTTAGAAGGGGCCACTGGTGAGTAACAAAATAAAATGCCACTTTGGATGATATAAATTAGGAGCAGTTGCAGCTATGCCCATGGTGATTAATAGTTCCAGCACTAAAAATTCAAAATCTTGCTTCCTGCCTGCTCTCCCTAAGATCTGGATGTTGGCATGTTTAGCCTTCCCACTTGTAATTATCCTCCCTCAAAATTGGAATAAGGATTAACTAATTATAGTGGTGCGTTCAGACACGAGCCATATCAAACGCCTTGGTAACCAAGAATTGTCCTGTCTGCAAAAGTAAGCCAGAAACCCTTACAGTCTCTGGTATCTGCTTCAAGGCCCAGAATAGGGAGATTGAGCCAACCCACAGAGCTTCCCTAACCTAGTTTAGCCAGCACAAGTACACCCTGCACTTCCATTAAGTTTACTTTCTTAAGATGCTGCTTTGGATAAGGTAATCCCTTTCTCAAAAATCTACTGTGGGTCTCAGTAGGTCCAATATAGAAAGCAGCAGTAGGTCCATCAATGGGCCAGGATGTGGTATTAGAAGCCATGGGTTTAAATATTGACCCTAACATGAACTAAAATTGTGGCTTTAGCAAAGTAACTTAACACTTTATCCTCCAAACTGGGATAATTCTGTCTACTCCATAAAACTGTTGTGAGAAATAAGCAAGATAGGATATATAAAGTGCTTGACCCAGTGTCCATGTGTCAAATCTGAATAAAGGATATCACCACAATTCTTTAATATAACAATCAAGGCTTTCCATAGTTCAGCCCCAGTCCTCCTATCTTAACCTTCAAGTAGGAAGATTCCCTATTCTAATCAAACAGACTTCTAACCAACTACTCACTAGTCAGGCTATTTACCACTCTCTGGACTACCTTTTCCCCAGCTCTGTATTCAGTAATCCTACCCATCTTTCAATACTCAGCTTAAAGCTCATCTTTCCCATGATGTTTAGTCTGACCATTAACTCTTTAAACAACTCATGAGATCCTTAATTATATACTTTTAAAAATATTGTATCAGTTTGAACACGTCTTATTTCCTCTAGTATAGACTACATTTCTGGAAGTACACCAAGACTTGTATACCTGTTATATATCACCACAATGCCTCTCATAGAGTCTGAAGTAGGACAACGGTCTCAAATTATTTTTTTTCTAACTGAGGAATTCCTCAAAGAATAATTTGATAAACCCTATTCAAGTCCAACTTTTGCATTTAATAGATGAAAAGCCTGCCCCCAGAAAGGGGAAGTAACATTCAAGGTCATATGAGTAGTTTGGTGTTATAGCTGAAAGCAGAATTCTGGCTTCCTGTGGCAGATCTCAGGCTGTCTTTCAATATCAATTTTCTTCCCTATCTATAGGGATACCAAGTTTTAGCTGAAAACATGGTCACCTAGAATGAAGACTTCATTTCCCATCCTTCCTTTAGTTGTGTGGATATGAGTTCTATTAAATGGGATAAAAGTGGAAGGGCCATACAACTGCATCTTCTTCTTTCTCCCCCTACTTCCTTCATTCTGCTGCCCAGAACATGGAGGTGATGGTAGAATTCCACATTAGATCATGAGATTGAGGGACACGTCCCATGGAAGGCAGAGCAGAAAGCTGAAAGAACCTGACTTTCTAGGCTTTCAAAGAGCAGAGCCACAATATCAGCTCTGGATTGCCTACATCTAGACATTTATATGGGAGAGAAATAAACTTCTATGCTCTTTAAATTGCTACTATTCTATATATCAGTTATTGGCAGCTTAACTTATCTTATTATCTCTCCTATCAGCTTTCTGATGCTCTTAGCTCTTCACATTGTCCCCAGACATATATCTTCATTCATTCATTCATTCATTCATTCATTAAATCATTCACTCAAGAGCCATTCAGTGTACACCTACATTCTGCCTGGCATAAATCTAAGATGGGCTGGGATGGACACAGAAATGAAATGTACAGATCTTGCCCTTAAAAGTTATGGGTATTGAATAAACTTCTCACTGTCTTAATTCATATCATGAATCATATGTCTGGCAAACATTAATCTCAGAATTTCTGACAGTCCCATCTCAAATAATTTCACTGTTTCTAGTAGTATATTGTTGATCAGACCATGTGTGCTTAATATGTTTGATTGCCTCTCAATACACAGTCTCTGCCTTTTTCCACCCTTTTCTTTGCCCAAGGAAGCTTATATGTATGGATTACATCAATGAGCTCTCTTGCCCTCTGATTCCTGGTTACGTTTGTCAAAGAGACCCCTAGCAGGAGATCAGAAGGAAGTAAGACAATGAGCTCTTTGTATTTATTTTTCTCAACTCCCTCCCTGTCGGTTCATCTCAGGGTAATTTTATTCCTCAACTGAAGGTCACTGTTCCACTCAAGGTGGCCCACTACATGACTCTACTATTGGGTTCTGGTAACCATTCCTTCCCTCCAGCCCTGTTGAGCTGTTACTGGCCCCAGGGATCTGCACTATTCCCAGTGGTTTCCCTATACACTGCCCACGCCTTGTAAATAGCCCTTCTATTAAGCTCTCTTCAAATTATCCTAACATGAGACTGCCATCTGTTTCCTGCTAGCATGCTGACTGATGCACCATGTGTCCCAATTTTCACTTCAAAATATATAGGCACCAGATACAGATGGCACCCACCATAAGCACTATTAGGAAGGGGGTTAGAGTAGAGGGAAAATATTTAGCAAAATATTAGTGCACAGAGAATCCCAGATTATAAGCATATCATCATGACCACCAGCTTTTGAGACCACATTTGACCCTCAGGTACCTAAGCCATACACAAGCTCTTTTCATTTCTCTCTTTCTTGGGGTATCCCAGACCAGACTTTATGTCTCTTAAATAGTCTAGTCTTGAAAGCTTTTATTTAGAAGTGGGGCTCACTTTTAAGTGGAACCCACAGTCACTAAGCAGAGCCCATTTTTCCACCAACACATTTCAGAATCTCAAGTATAGTATTTTCTCCCACTTCTACCAGTATCCTCACTTAGGATCTATAAAGTGCTCAATATGCCTATTTTAGAGGCACAAACCACACTTCTTGAAGAGTCAAACATAAAAATCAAATGATCACCTGCTTATTCTTTACTAGCAACTGAAGTATTGCTGACCACAGAAAACAAAACCTATGCATCCAATATGAAGAATAATTTCAGATCGTGGGTTGGGCAGTGGAGGGAAAGAGTAAAAGAGAGAAGGAAGGTGTGGTAGGCAGAAGAATGCAGCCCCCCTCCCAAAATGTCCAAGTCCTAATCACTGGAACCTGTGAACATGTTACCTTACATGACAAAAGGGACTTTACAGATATGATTAAAGATCTTGAGGTGGAGAATTATCTGAGTGAGCCCAACATAATCCCAGGAGTCCTTATAAGTGAAAGAGGGAGGCAGGAGATTCAGTGTCAGGGTAATGCAGCATGAGAAAGACTTGACCAGCCATTGCTGGCTTTGAAGATGGAAGAGAAGCAGAGGCTAAGGTGTGTAAGCAGCCTCTAGGAGCTGGAAAAGACAGGGAAATGAGTTCTCCTCTAAAACCTCCAGGAGTAATGCAGACCTACTGTTACCTTGATTTTAGCCAAGAGAGACCCATTTCGGACTTCTCCCAAACTGTAAGACAATAAATTTGTGTTGTTTTAAACCAGCAAGTTCATGGCAATTTGTTATGTCAGCAATAGGAAACTAACACAGAATGTAAGACTGAAATCTCTGGATTCAGAGAACTAAACCTGTGGCAAGGAAGAAGGGTTGAGAACTGAAGGATGGCAGAGCCAGAACACATTGTGAGCAACACAACCAAACTGCACACCACTTGCTAACCTGCACTGTAGGCAAGTTGGATTCACTGAAAAACAAATTCATTCTTCATATCAGAGGTTCACACTCACAAAATGCTTTCATGCCTTTTATAACACACAGTAGAAGCCTCTGTCTTTTCTCTTAGAGTTTCTGGGATTCACCAGAACTTTTGTATTTTGTTAGAGAGCTTTATCAGCCTCATTCAGAAGGAAAAGCATCTGTCTCATACCTTATTCTGTAACTTCCTGGTGGCCATAGCAGCAAAGAATTACACAATAAAAACAATAACCTTTAAAAGTTCCAGAGCATATAGTCTACAAAGCATCAGTATCTATTATTCTATGATTTGCATTCCATAAAAACTCATTGCTAAGCTCCTCCCGCAAGGCTGCCTGTTTCTGAATGGGCCTTACCACGCTCTGACCCAGCTGCTCCCGAAAGAAGTAATCCATGTTTCTCTTTTGCAGGCTGTCAAGGTAATGCTGAAAGCGAGTGTACGTATAAGGGTAGCAGTAAGCAAACTGGTAAATATCTTCTTCTCGGTCAAAACAAAATGCAAAGGACATCACATAATTCTTCCTATGGTCCGGGCAGCGGTAGTAGTAAACATTCTTAGGTGGCAACCTTTGCCTGAAAGATACAAACAAAGAAATTTGGGCGTATCAGACAACTGTTCAAGCTTCAAAAGGTAATAGATAGGAATAAATGTCCAAGAGAAAAACTGTAACATCAAGAACCCTAGGAGGTGATGGTGTACAATGCCACATATCATCATTATCAAAAAGAGACTGGATTCTGGCAGCACTTTGTTCAAATTCTCACCCTACCCTTTATCAACTATTTGGAGAATGCAAAGTTAAACAATGTTTATTCATTGTTTATTCTTATTTTGAGCACCTAGTATATGCCCAGGCATATGAGATAGGCAAGGTGTCTGTCCTCATGGAGTACATATTCTAGTGGGGAAGCAGTCAATAAAATATTAGAAATAAATATACAGTATAGTTACAGACTCTAAAAGTGCTTTGAGGGGAAATAAAGAGTGTGATGTTATAGTGACGTAAATGGTGGAGGCCTACTTTTCCGAGGGAGGTCAGGGTTTTGTATTACTAGACCTTTTAAAATAAGCTAATATGCATCGTGAATATTCAAGGGGGAGGAAAGAATAGCCCACATTTGTTTAAATTATTACTTGTATTTTCCTACAGAGCATTCCATGAGACTAATTTTCCACAGAAGCACTTGGGAAATAATACTTTAAAATACACTGTGTAGGCAATTTTGTTAAGCCATCAGGCTCATTCTCCAATAAGGAACGCTGAAACACATACATGAGAAAAGGCAAAATGTTCCAGTCATAGTTCCCGTAACTTCTTTACATTCACCCACTTCATAGGCTCACTGCACCTCTCATGCTTTATGATATACAAACTATTCATGCTGTTTCCCTGAAGAGAATGCCTCTCATTTTTGTCTCTTCAAAACCTATTACTCCTGCAAAACCCATCTCAAACTGGTCTTTTTCCATAATCATCCATTGACAATTCCAGGCCAGTTCAGCTTCTATATTTTGTAGTAACTCTTGCTTTTTTATTAACTGCTTTCTAAGTCTTATGCACTAGGATTTGTTTGGAAGCTCCTTAAGGGCAAGGATTCTCCTGCTGGGTTCTGGCACAGTGGGTGGAAGATGTAAGGTTCACCTATAGTGGCTTGGCATTCAATTGAGAAGCCAAAGAGCAGAGGAGAATTGGGAGGACAACGTGAGGAGGAGGGTATTAGAGATAAAGTCAAGAAAAGCAAGAATAGTGCTGGCTCCAGGTAGGGCAGCCTGGAGAAAACTGTTAAGAACTCCAAGAGCATTAACACATGCTAATGTTTGCTGGAGAATCTTGTTTCTACCTTGTTGACTCTTCAAGGCTATCCAAGTGGACAGTGGAAGGTAAGGCTGTGGGATTCTTGTGGACGAGCAAAGGTTACACGGCACCAATGCTTATACATGCAGTGGCTTGTATTGCTTTCCTATAGCTCTGGATATTATGAATCCCACCCAAAAATTAAGTGGAATGCAGAGAAGAGGACAAAAGGAAAAGTAGGTGGAGAGTGAGAGAGGAGTGAGAGAAAAGAGAAAGGAAGGAATGGACATTATATACCTAGTAAGGGTTGTTTCTGGGGCTCATTCAGTTCCTCATTTAATCCTCACTACTTTGTAGATGTGGTCACGGAGGTTCATAAAAGTTAAGCAGCTTACTCATGGCCTCAAGCTGGTAAATGACAGAGTTGGGATTCAGGTCTGTTTCTACCTGACTCCAAGTCCTGTATATATACCACTCCTCCATGGACCCTCTTGATAAATTATGGACTTCTGGCATTCCACATACAAGTGTGTGCAAAGGCCAGGAGGCAAGAGGGAACAAGTAAAATGTTGGAACTGCAAGGAATTCATCATGGCTCAAGGACAAAGAGTGAGAAGGGAAATCACGAAAATGTGCCTAAAGAGGAAGGCAGAAGCCGGATTAGAAAGGGACTACCTAAATCATGTTAAGGAATTTCAATATTATCCTGAGGTCACAGGGTACCTTTCAAGTAAGGGAAAGTAGTAAAGTACCATGATTGTGCCAGTCCAAGTGATAGACGAGAACGGTCAGAAAAAGGACAAGGTAGCAGCTGCACAGGTGTAGAAAACAAGACAGACTTGACTAGATTAGAAAAAGTGGCTGAAGTGATAGGCCATAGGGTCTAAGATGATCCTGAAGGTACCTACAAGGACAGCATGTAAACAGAACAGCATAAGCAACAAAGGAAGAGGGCTTCTCACAAAAAGGTCAGTGGTATTATCAAAGGCTGTCTAGGAGTGTGCTTAGACCTACAAATACAGCCCATTTGTCTCCTGCTACCAAAGCCAGGAGGAATTAACATGCAAATGACAACAGTCTTCCTGTAATGCAAATATAGCTTTAAGACAAACTTCCTAGGCACTCCTCATTTCTAACCAGATTGCTACCCTAAACCTTCCCATATTGAAATTTTGGAGCTACCAGTAACGAGATAGAGAAATAATGGCCTGGAAGGTGCATGGGGAGGGAAGAGGAAACTTGTCCCCTCCTGATCCTTCTGTACATGGAGAGTAGGAGAATGAGCAATTGCTGAGAGGTCAATGGGGGAAGTAATGGCCTCCAGGATAGTGAGGCCATAGTTCACTGTTTTATTCAGCAAATATTTCTTGAGTATCATGTATTAAGCATAGTTTGGTTAAGACAAGAGATAAAGGATGCAGTGGACTAAAAGATTGAGAATCCAAGTGAGATTATCAACCATAGAGCTAAGGTTGAGAGGAAACAGTAGAAAGTGGAAAGTGCTGAAGAGAGAAAGGAGTAGTGGAAAAGCAAGATTAGAGAGAGAGCAGACCAGTGCAAGGATGAGAGTAAAGAGAGAACAGATGATGGCCCACATCTATGATGTGATGGAACATGCAGGAATGTGAGGCTGGTGGAATGAGCTAGTCTCTGGGTTCTAGATTCCTATTTAGGAAGAATGCCAGTAAAAGAGGTCTGGAGGTCTCCAGGCAATGGTCTGTGATAGTCACTTCAGGCCCTGACTCTGAGAGGTCTGAGTCTGAGTCCCCTGGAGCACAAGGTGAGCACGTCTTCATACTCAAGTGATTCCTACAGTCATAGGCCCCTTAGGTTATGATGCTGATGCTTTCAACTCTTCATTTACTAGTATATCTGATCAAGGTCCATGCTTTAAATCCAATCACCCCGGTTTTCTCCTATTCTAGCCAAGTTTAGCAACTTGACTCTGAGAGCCTGCTGTCTCCACCAAATTTGATTATGTGCTATCAGAAGAATTCATCTAATGCTTGTAGCTGTCCCAGCTCCTCTCCTGAGTGGGTCGGATGCCTAACCTGATTTGCAGACAGAGTGAAGGTAATAGGCCCTGGGGTAATCATTCAAGGAAGCTGAGATGCTGCTCAGGGCTTAGATTTTCCCGACTCTGCTAAGGATACAAACGAAAATCTATCTGAGAAGGGCTCAGCAGGCCAAATTCAGGAGGACTTTCAAGTAATGCAAAGAATAAGGAAAAGAGGGCTGGGACTATGAGGGAGAAATGTGTCTCTCATTTGAAGCGTACTTCTGGTTTTTCTCTTATTTTGCTTATTATGTTTTCATTATGTCGCAGGCATGGTGCTAAATGTTTTATATGCATTATCATTTAATTCTCACAATAACCCATGAGCGAGGGGCTATTAACATCTCCTTTACACAGACGAGAAAAATCGAAGCTCAGAGAGGTAAAAAATTCCCTGAGGTTGCAAGGTTAGTAAGCAGCAGAGCCTGTACCAGATGCAGGCTAAGGTGACTCTGAAGTCTGTGCTCATAGTCCCTATGGTATCTTTCTACTCACCTTTCTCCTCTTGCCATAGAACTCATAGGCTTCCCTTCTGCTTCCAGAAAAATCTGGTCACACAGTACTCTCACCAACACTCTCCTGCTAAAAGCTCTTCAAAAAACTCCCAAGCCTCGTATTTTAGATTGGCTCACAGCCTCCCCAGGATCTCCCTGAGATTCCAGCATCAGCAGCCATTTCTCCCTCCTTGAACCCTATGTTTTAGTCATACCAAACTATTCACAACTCCCTAACACAATTTTGTGCCAAACCTCCAATACCTCTATGTCTTTGTATTTGATCTTTCCTCCACTTGGACTGCCTCCCCTGCCACCTTACCTCTGGGTAAACGCCTACTCATAGATGTGGCATATTGTAGATTGTCAATAAAGGTTTTAATATTTAAAAAAATGAACTAATTAATAAACAAAAGAACTTATAAATAAATGCCTATTCTTTAACATACCTCCTCTCTGAAGCCTTCTCTAATTATTCATTTTTCATTAGTTTTTCTCTACTTTGACATACGATATTAAAAAGCATTTTATCACCTGGTTTGTCTCCTAACAATGACTAACAAAAGTAAATGGAAATTTCTTCAAAGAGAAGGTAGGCTTCTTGAAGATGGGAAGAGTGTCACCTCGCCCCTCTCTTGCTCACTGGAAATGGTAAAGAGAAATTTAAAAAAATACTTGCTTATTTAAAAAAAAAACAATGATAAAAGGAAAAGAAGACTCATCTCCAAAGATAAATGGTAAGCACCCTAGGAAAGTATATTTTAGCTCAGAAAAAAGTAGAAACTCTTTAATATTCAGCTGATGGGAGAGTAGAAAGGCCCATGTTACAGGGGAGTACAAGTATGGGAAACTTTAAAGGATCCCATAAAGAAAGTTCCTGTACTTGATGTTTGATTAGACAAGGCAGCCTTTTGATTCCATTTAACACAGATAATCTGAGATATTGACGGAAACAATAATAACAATTATTACTATAATACTAATTTCTAATATTATATATCTATCATTGACCATGTGCTAGACCATTCTAAGCACTTTACAATGCGTTAACTCCTTTTATCCTCCCAACAATCCTCTCAAGTTATTCCTATTAACCCAATGATATGATAAAAATGAAAGTAGGCTCAGAAATGCTTCTTCTTAAAAGAAACAAGTTGTCCATGACTCCCCAGAAGACTCCAGAAAGGAAAGAGTCTAACACCTGATCCTGCCAGAGCTGCAGGACAA